CATGTGAGGGAGGATAGGGCCTCATCATACTCCCTCCCAGACACAACTCACCCTATGTACAGTGGCTTGCGAAGGTATTCACCCCCCTTCGCATTTTTCCTATTTTGTTGCCTTGCAACCTGGAATTAAAATGGATTTTTTGGGGGTTTGTATCATTTCATTTACACAACATGCCTACCACTTTGAAGATGCTAAATATATTTTATTGTGAAACAAACAAGAAATATGACCAAAAAAAAAGAAAACTTGAGCGTGCATAACTATTCACCCCCCCAAAGTCAATACTTTGTAGAGCCACCTTTTGCAGCAATTACAGCTGCAAGTCTGTTGGGGTATGTCTCTATAAGCTTGGCACATCTAGCCACTGGGATTTTTGCCCATTCTTCAAGGCAAAACTGCTCCAGCTCCTTCAAGTTGGATGGGTTCCGCTGGTGTACAGCAATCTTTAAGTCATACCACAGATTCTCAATTGGATTGAGGTCTGGGCTTTGACTAGACCATTCCAAGACATTTAAATGTTTCCCCTTAAACCACTCAAGTGTTGCTTTAGCAGTATGCTTAGGGTCATTGTCCTGCTGGAATGTGAACCTCCATCCCAGTCTCAAATCTCTGGAAGACTGAAACAGGTTTTCCCTCAAGAATTTCCCTGTATTTAGTGCCATCCATCATTCCTTCAATTCTGACCAGTTTCCCAGTCCCTGCCGATGAAAAACATCCCCACAGCATGATTCTGCCACCACCATGCTTCACTGTCCATATGTTTGGGGAGTCTCCCACATGGATTTTGGTGAACACCAAAAGTGTTTGCTTATTTTTTTCTTTAAGCAATGGCTTTTTTTCTGGCCACTCTTCCGTAAAGCACAGCTCTGTGGAGTGTACGGCTTAAAGTGGTCCTATGGACAGATACTCCAATCTCCGCTGTGGAGCTTTGCAGCTCCTTCAGGGTTATCTTTGGTCTCTTTGTTGCCTCTCTGATTAATGCCCTCCTTGCCTGGTCAGTGAGTTTTGGCAGGTTTGTTGTGGTGCCATATTCTTTAAAAACATTTATAATGGATTTAATGGTGCTCCGTGGGATGTTCAAAGTTTCTGATATTTTTTTATAACCCAACCCTGATCTGTACTTCTCCACAACTTTGTCCCTGACCTGTTAGGAGAGCTCCTTGGTCTTCATGGTGCCGCTTGCTTGGTGGTGCCCCTTGCTTAGTGGTGTTGCAGACTCTGGGGCCTTTTTTTAAACAAGTAATTTTTTTACTTCACTTCACCAATTTGGACTATTTTGTGTATGTCCTTTACATGAAATCCAAATAAAAATCTATTTAAATTACAGGTTGTAATGCAACAAAATATCTCATGATGATCACCAGCCCGTCAGCTGCAGGAAATGGTCCTACACACACGCGCACGCACACATCTGCCAGGAGCCTGATATATCCCCCATACCCCCCCCCCCCCCCCCCCCCATACCCTGTTCCCCCCATCCCAGGCGAGATTCGTTGAGTTACGGCCCGAGGAGCAGCTAGCTGGAGCTCTCAGCTAATAAAGTCCAGACTTCGGAGAGAGGCTAGCTGAGAATGTTTTCACAGATACAGCCCACAGTCTCCTTCTTTTCTATTGTCTTTGGAGGCAACCAACCATCCATCATGTCATTAAATCACTGTGCGGCTCTATCCAGTTACACTGCAAAACCAGGTCACTCAAGTAATATGAAATCAATATAAATATGCATGGGGGTATTATTACCTTTGTATGTTATGGTAAATCTTTTTTTAAATATGCATGGTTGATAATGTGAGATTAAGTTTCAAACCACAGACCCTCCGTCTGAAGCCTGGTCCTCTCATAGATGTGTTGACTAGATGGAAGATCTCTGGGCATTGAGAAACGATGAGGCTTCAGCCGCAATGCTAGATTCCCTCAGCTGCAATGTGAATACACACCACTGTACCTTTTCTGTTACCTTTTAAACTCATTGGTACATTTTCTCAAGTTACTGTAACTAACCAAAAGACACCACAAATAATGAAATTAACCAAGACCGAATGTTAGTCTCTTAAATCGTTTATCAAAGACCTTCAGTGCACAGGCTTCCTGACATGTTTTTGGCCCTGAGCAGGATCTGCTGAGGGGTGTGTGTGTGTGTGTGTGTGTGTGTGTGTGCGCATACGTGCATGGGTGCACATGTGTTTATTATTTGTGTGTGTGTGAGTGAGTGAGGGGGGTTTGTGTTTGCCTCCCGCCATGCTGCAGGACTGGCCGTTTGGAGTTCTGCCTTTAAAGGCCTTCCTACTGCGGTTGCTGCGGTAACCACCTTATTTGGACTGCCTTCTCTAAAATTAAATCTTGCGTTTTTGTCCTGGATTCCACAGCTCACACACAAAGCACTGATTATTCCCAAGCAGCAAACTGACTGGGGCTAAAAAAAGGAGACAGCTCTTGAATGAATGCCATAATTTTCCCATGAAGCCCACTGGTTGAGTTGACTTGTTCACTGTCCTTGGCATTACGAAACCCAGTATGGACACACAGTCTGTTTGATTAGCTCATCACATGGCTGGACACAGGAGAGGTCAACTACCAATAACTATGGCGCTGTTGACGCAGTGTCACCTGTTTACTGTATGAGTAGGCATGATTCATAAACTGTGATAGTGTGAATTTGACTATGAGAGGAAAGCGGACAACTGGATTTCAAGAATTATAATAAGACCTTGAGCGATGTACTTAATATATAATTGTGGACTCACCAAAGGACAAACACTTTGTACATGCATTCCCCCTAAAACCTTGTAAGTTAATGGTGTGGCGTGTAACAAAATATGTTAGGCCTGTCTTTACAAAGCCAGTAAACCATATGCTGCAGCTCTTAACATTCCTTCCAGATTGAGACCTTGAGTGAATTACCATCCATCGCCTTTTTGCAGACCATGTCCAACACTAACGCTCCACACACACACACTCACACACCATGTCCAACACACACAGACAGCCACCCTCAGAACTGACTCACTCAACCATCCCTTTCCCAGAACACAGGAATGCTAGTTCTCAAAACACACTCATCACATTGCTTTCAGTTCAGCCTTTCTTCTGCTTATTGCATTCAGAAGTGGGACAAAAAGAGAGCACTGCAAAGCTTAGCTTAATTAAATTCTGCTCTGTTTGATGTCTGATGTTTCCAAATGTGTCTGTGGATGCTGGCTGAGCTGCTAGTCCTCTGTCATGGTTGTTAATCGGGTTGGATCGCCGGCCAAGCCATTGGAACAGTTAATCAAGCTCTACTTTACTGTCACAATTGAAAAACAATTCCTGAGAAGCAGCATAAATGCAGGGGTTTCTTTCTTTTGGCCACACAAACATATACAAGCAAACAGAGACTGCAGTTAACATTTCAATGATTCATTTTAAACAGTAAATGACTAAATGGTCGGTAATTGATGTATGAAGGGGCACATCAGGCAATTTTCTCTTCAGCCAGTGGGTGTGTCAGTAATGGCATCCTATTCCCTACATAGCACTATGGGCCCTGGTAAAAAGTAGTGCACTATGTAGTGAATATGGTGCCATCTCAGACAAACCCTGTGACTTTATTTTGCGGACTTCTTCTTGTTCCACTTTTGAGACCGACTGCTTTTCCACTCAGAGCAGTTACAACAGTCTCTAGAAAACGGTGGGACATCAAATCAGGCGGAGGGCTGCTTTCCAAAAGCCATCTCAGAGACATCCACTGTGGCTAAAGCCTCATAACAGAATATGTATAGTAATTTTAGGTCTATATGAATAGATTTAATATACAACCAAGGCTCAGTGACGTTCCAATTCGTCGTCATAAAATGTACAAGACTAGCGTGCCCTCCTAATGAAATCAGAAGTCCTGCAAACCAGTTAGTATTAAAGGGCAACTGCCAATCAGAATCACAACGTGGAAAAATACTTCCTGCTTCAGGCATGTCATTTAATTCTGGTTCAATTACATTACCAATTTATATAGAGGACATTTGATAAAAGATTGGAAGACAGTCTTCAAAACAATCATAAAGAATTATGCAAATAAAGTTGACAATGGACTATGAATAGGAATGCTTGGAGAACCAAGGAATAGGCTTTATTTTCGAACATACATTTTTGCTTTAAAAAAATGACATAACAGGAGAGGCTGCATCTGAAATAGAACCCTATTCCCTATATAGTGCACTACTTTAGACCAGAGCCCTGGCCAAAAGTAGTGCACTATATAGGGAATAGGGTGCCTTTTCAGACACCACACTGGTTTATAATGAGAGACATGACAATAAATACAGTGGGAATGGAGGGTGGATATAAGAACATGAGACGTCATGGCACAATAAGACTAGCCTTACTGTATGCAAAAAAAGCAGGACATTCTGGTTTGGTCGTCTGGTCTAATGGAATATCCATTAGAAATTACTCACTTCACGATTTTAGGAAAATAAATGGTCCAGTGATTTAGATTGAAACCTACTAATATTAAACAGATGAGATGGCCACTGGTTACTCCGAGGTTCACTCAATTGTATTGATATAAAAAGGTAATATTGGTCCTTTTAGGTTGGCAGAAAAGCAAAGCAGTTGGTGAATGAATTCCTTTAAAAGGGATGACTCGATCAGTAAAAAAATGGTTGCAGATGCTACAAAGTTCGCAAAATTTCTTTACTTCAGTGTCCCATACTTCATAATGTAATAGTATAATATTATTATCTCCAACACTGTATCTCAGCACTTTCTATGCTTTAACTACAACTGCATGAACACTATTGCTCAAATGGAAGGAGAGTTGGGGAGGAGGTGGAGAAGGAATGCACTCAAGACAATATTTATCTCTTATGCTTCAATAAAAAAAATGTAAAAGATTAGCGAGGATAGCAGAAGACTTGCTCTGTTTGTCATCGATAAAATACACTTTTTTAATACTGCCCACTCTAGCGGTCGTTGTTGTGTTAAGGTGGCGCCGGATTAACCTGGTCGCAGATCTGTTTATGCGGTCTTGCCAACTCCTATGGTCATTGGCAAGACAGCACAAACTAATCTGGGACCAGGCTAGTGCCGGATGGCCCCGGACAGCCCTAATAGTCAATGCCCTGGTCAACGTTGTTGTAGTGGGCCACGTCGCTGTAGTTGTCCTCTTCCTGATAAGCCACTGGGTACTCCTCCCCCTCTCCCTCCTGGAGGAATTCCTCGGCCTGATAGTCACTGTCGCTGATCTCAGAGCAGTTGGTGCCCGTGCCTTGGCTCCCGTTGGTATGTATAACGGGCTCGGTGGGCGAGCCGCAGTACTTGGGGTCGTACACCTGGCGTCCCAGGCCGTACGCGCTCATGCCCTTCTGGGACGCCACCTTGTTGGTGCCCATCTGCAGGGAGATAGTGGAGTTGTCCACTGGATGCACCTGCTTATTGTCGAAGATGTCACGACGCGTTCCCGGGCAGGACATACCGGCCTGGGGGAGAGGAGACAGAGAGGGCCGGGGTACACACTTTAGGAGATTTCCATGAAAACAGTTACTGACGGATTGTCTTCAAGACAAATATACGTATCATCAACAAAGTGATTATAGTGATGTGCAATGAAAAGCCATGTGAAGTCTCCATCATATATTGTGGACACATCTACTCATTCAAGGGTTTTTCTTAATTTTTACAATTTTCTACATTATAGAGTAGTTAGTGAAGACATCAAAAAAGTGTTAAACAAATCAAAATATATTTTATATCCGTCAAAGTAGCCACCCTTTGCCTTTGACAGCTTTGCACACTCTTGGCATTATCTCAACCAGCTTCATGAGGTAGTCACCTGGAATGCATTTCAATTGACAGGTGTGCCTTGTTAAAAGTTAATTTGTAGAATTTCTTTCCTTCTTAATGCGTTTGAGCCAATCAGTTGTGTTGTGACAAGGTAGGGGGTATACAGAAGACAGCCCTATTTGGTAAAAGACCGTGTCCATATTATGGCAAGAACAGCTCAATTAAGCAAAGAGAAACAACAGGCCATCATTACTTTAAGACATGAAGGTCAGTTAATACGGAAAATTCCAAGAACTCTGAAAGTTTCTTCAAGTGCAGTCGCAAAAACCATCAAGCGCTATGATGAAACTGGCTCTCATGAGGACCGCCACAGGAATGGAAGACCCAGAGTTACCTCTGCTGCAGAGGATACGTTCATTCGAGTTACCAGCCTCAGAAATTGCAGCCCAAATAAGTTCAAATCACAGACACATCAACTGTTCAGAGGGGACTGTGTGAATCAGGCCATCATGGTCGAATTGCTGCAAAGAAACCACTACTAAAAGGACACCAATAAGAAGAAGAGACCTGCTTGTGCCAAGAAACACGAGCAATGGACATTAGACCGGTGGAAATCTGTCCTTTGGTCTGGAGTCCAATTTGGAGATTTTTGGTTCCAACCGCTGTGTCTTTGTGAGACGCGATATGGGTGAACGGATGATCTCCGCATGTGTAGTTTTCACCGTAAAGCATGGAGGAGGTGGTGTTATGGTGTGGGGGTGCTTTGCTGGTGACACTATCTGTGATTTATTTAGAATTCAAGGCACACTTAACCAGCATGACTACCACAGCATTCTGCAGCATCCCATCTGGTTTGGGCTTAGTGGGACTATCATTTGTTTTTCAACAGGACAATGACCCAACACACCTCCAAGCTGTGTAAGGGCTATTTTACCAAGAAGGAGAGTGATGGAGTGCTGCATCAGATTACCTGGCCTGGGATGAGTCGGACGGCAGAGTGAAGGAAAAGCAGCCAACAAGTGCTCAACATATGCGGGAACTCCTTCAAGAGTTGGAAAAGCTGGTTGAGAGAATGCCAAGAGTGTGCAAAGCTGTCATCAAGGCAAAGGGTGGCTACTTTGAAGAATCTCAAATATATATATATATTTTTTAACACTTTTTTGGTTACTACATGATTCCATATGTGTTATTTCATAGTTTTGATGTCTTTACTATTATTCTACAAGGTAGAAAATAGTAAAAATTAAGAAAACCCCTTGAATGAGAGTGTGTCCAAACTTTTGACTGGTACTATAAGTTCCATCAGGGTTTCAACAGGGGAAGTAGACCCCTGTAAATGCATCAGTGTTTGTTCTACCCATAGACATTCACAGTGTTTGTTCTACCCATAGACATTCACAGTGTTGGTATACATAATTGGTTCTACCTGGCTGGCTCCTTTGTTGGTGCCCATCTGCAGACTGATGGTGGTCTGGTCATAAGGCTTGTCTGTCTGGGACCTTGGGTCGTAAAGATGTCTCCTGGTCCCGTATGCTGTCATACCAGCCTGGCTCGCACACTTGTTGGTCCCCATCTAAACACACAGAAACATAGCTGAATAGACGTATTACACTTCTATTACACATCACATGTTAGTCATTGAGCAGACGCTCTTATCCAGAGCGACTTCACCTAGTCGGCTTGGGGTTTCGAACCAACAACCTTTCACTTACTGGCCCAACGCTCTTAACCGCTAGGCTACCTGCCGCCCACATCTATTACAAGCGATTGAAGAATCAGTTAAATAAGCTACATATAAACATTCAATTATCAGGATGAAAAAAATGAAAAAATATATTGTATAGTCACATCCAGTAACAGAGCCCAACAACCTGTGGCTGTTTAAGCATCATTATCATATCTTACCTGCAGTCCGATGACACATTGTCCAGCCTTGATCTTATCGTCATCAAAATGGCGTGTCTGTTTGTCTGCGTATTTCACACCAATGTCACACGATGTGTGCATGCCTTTGGTCTTTGCCTATGGAATAAGATAAGAATGTGGAAATATTTGATTCTGCCAAGTCCCTTGGAGAAAAGGAACCCTATCAGAATGTCTTGGTAATGCGCTACTGTAGGTGTCACCAGAGAAGGAACCCTATGAGAAAGTCTTGGTAACACTTTACTGTAGGTGTCAGTCTTTCTCCCAGTAGACACTAATTGTAACATGTGTTCTTGTATGTTTAAATGTTTTAAAATAATAATCATAATTAAGGAAGTCTTTCTACCCCCCTGGGTATCCCACTCACGATGCTAGCCAGGGAGAGCAATGTGCTCTGGACTTGGGTCATGTTGCCGTTCTCAAACAGGTCATTGGCCTCGAAGATGTCATTGGGCTTCATGCCGTAGGCCAGGATGGCTTTGATAAAGTTGCCAAGGTTCTCCAGCTGGGGGAACACAACACAGGTTACAGATAGGAATAGGTTGAATAGAGCTGGCACGATTCCGTATTCTATCTGACAAGACAATCATATTTTCTACACGGTACATTTCTATCAGAATGTTCTGTGACGTTACATCCTCCTGAACAGGCCCCAGAACACAGCAGGGATGGGCATAGCAGAGATGGGGGAGGGGCTATAGTAAGAACATCAGGAAGTAATAACTCCATAAAGAAGGTGTTGTGTGAGTGAGTGAGAGCGAGAGTGAGGAGAGAGCGAGAGCTGAAGGCTTAATGAATGAGTCCACTTATTCTCCATGCACAACATATGGCTTACAGATCGTAAATGGTATTAATGAGTTGAACAGCTCTCTATGGTCTTTGTGCTTGAGGTTTAGGTTTGGGGAAAGCATTAGCCTACCTTGTGCCAGTTCAGTTGTGAGTGGTTAATTTTCTTTATCGAGCCAGGTTGCAGTTTGTTTATCAATCTAAGAAAGAGAGAAGGTCAGTCTATCAAATCAAATCTTATTTGTCACGTACACATAATTTGCAGATTAGTAGCGAAATGCTTATGCATCTTACACACACATTCAGTTTAAAGTGTTCATGTTCAATGTAAAAAATATATAATCTTAAGTGAATCTTGGGGAGGAAATACACTGAGGACAATATCTGCAGTATGGGCTTGTGTATCAAATATGTATTCAACTGGAATATAAAATAGACAATATGCAAATCACCACATCAATCTGTGGATAGTGACTGGAGTGTGACTGATTACTCATGTGTAAAATCCTAGTCAGCGTCTCCACCCGGCAAACATTAGCTGCAGATCACAGCAGTGTGGAGGGCGCACACACACACACACACTGCAATGTCAAACCTCTGTCACTGTCAGCTCTGCAGTAAACACACGCAAACACTTACTCTCCCAGGATGACTCCATCCTTTAGGCCCTTCTGGAAGTTATCTCCAATGGCCATCCCCGTCACCTCCTCGATCCAGAACCGAAGCTCCTCCTCTTTTTGCATGTCATATTTGCCTGCGATCTGAGGTGAAAGCAAAAGTTATTATCTCGAAACCTAGAGCAATATCTCGCATGTCCTGGCCAGCTACTATGTTCAAGTCTGTCACATGAGACTAGTGTCTTTGTAACAACACCTTGCCCTTTAAAACTGTCATGTCTAATTCAATCTCTTCCTGATCGTTGTATCTCATCATTTGACAGTGTTACGAGATGCGAAATTGTCTCAAGCTGCTTTGAAATAAGGAACTATGAGCCAAAATCATGTCTCACGCCAATAAACCCAGCAAGAGAGGTATGTCCATGTGTTACATAATCACCCCTCAACATCATGAGTTTCTCTCCATTTAGACATGTTTTAGACCACATCAACGAATTAACTCCGGATGGGCAAACCACTCACTGAATCAGCTTTTGGACAAAGTATCACTGATCAAGCTACAGGCTTGCATGGCGTTTTTCATAATGTACTTTGACATTGTAATAGAAAACCGTTTTCCCCATCAAGATTGTAAAAAGTTATCAGAAATGTAGACGTCAGATGTCAGCAAGCCGGGCTTTTACAGTGGTGTCAGGGGCAGAGATTACAGATGTGCCCCAAATGGCAACCTATTCCCTATTTAGTGCACTACTTTTGACTAGAGCCCTGTTCAAAAGTAGTGCACTATAAAATAAATAGTGTCATTTCAGCAGAGTAAGTACTGAGCTGTGGGGTAAATCAACAGGCTGGGACTGGGGGGGTTAAAGCGCAAACGTTGACCATCTATCTGGAACAGCATAAAAGCCCAGACGTTTGGCTTTAAATGTTGTTGTGCCAACCAGACGTTTAGCTAAGAGATTCATGTAATGTAGATTGGCCACAATAAGGTTCTAACAACAAACAGTAAAGACGTCAACCCTTCTAGTGAGTCACAACGTTACGTCAGAAATACTTTCAGATTCACACGTTGGCTTCAAAGCCAGTGAGAAAAATATATACACAAATTCACATGTAATCCATAAGGGAGCCCATGATGCAACCACAGTTTCCTGAGAACTAAAGAGAAGGTATTTGCTAGACTGACAGACACTAGCCCAAATGAAGGCACTTAAGGCATTAGTGTGGTCTGATGTAGATATTTCTAGAGCACATTAATCCTGGTCTATTGCCAGGAAAGGAAATGACACTGATCTATCTATTGTGGTCTGGTGTTTTAGGGACAGTCCGTTCTCCTAGGGTCAGCTCACTTTAACATGCTGCGTAGCTAATGTGTACCAGGACACAGCTCAGAGAGGAAGTGATGCTACTGGCATCATGGCATGGACAGTAGCCATTGGAGGAAGAGGAAACGGGAGCGTGTGTGAATGTGAAGCCAATTACAACTGCATGCTCCTCTTCTTCTCCCACTGCTTCCTCTCTATCACACACACACACTCTGAACATGAGACGTCAAGGGCTTGGAAACCTCCCCCGCTGGCTCTCTGGAGCATTTACCATGCTCAAGGCTTCAATTGCCAAACGCACCCTTCAGAACACATTCGGATGCCAAAACTCATTAATGTAAACAGATGCACAGGATCTGCTAAAAACGGTAGGCCTACATTGAAAAATAATGATCTGTTCTGTGTTGTAATCTACTGTAAATGACTAAGTACTGTACTGTCAATTACCCACAATTGGATTGCACAATGCCATGGAACATTTCCAGGTCCTTTCTACAATGTCAAACAGAGTATATTTAACTGTGCTTTGCAGCTGCAGTCACCCATTAGTTCATATTCCATTGTAAACAGCACTTCAACATTGGCCTATGTCCTATAAACATGGGCTTTTAACAAGAGCATCTCACAGACACTAGTCATTCACCAGAGTCAGTTAGACAAACTCATCTCTATGATCTAGTCAAGAGGGAAAAGACCACAGGAGACACAGCATCTGGCCTCCATTCCACTCCTCTCCTTTCATTATAGTCCATTCTTTGTTTAGCCTTTACTCTACAACTGTAGCTTATTCCCAGTGTGCAGATATTAGCTCATTAGCACCACACGTTAATGCTGGGCTTCAAGAGGGATGCTTATTGTAGGCTATGTAGCATTATAAACCAGGCGTATTGAAAGCTAATAAAAACATTGGGGTAATGACAGCCTTATAGCACTACTATGTGAGACTGAAAGCTTGAAGCCCATAAACATGTAGCCAAACTTCTTCCCCCCTATTCGGGCAGAGAAAGGCTTGTTTTCGTTTAACTGCAGTTTATCACCCCCCCCCACTAAAGCCTGTCAGCTGGAATGTGAAGGCCATCACCAGAAAGACATGCCCTCTATGAAGCAGTGTGTCTGTGTGCGCGTGAGAGAGAAAACAAGGCCCTGTTCACACATAATAACAGGCAAAAAGGAAAATCTTCAAATGTCCCTCCATCTTGTAAAAGGGCAAAGTGGTGTTCTAGTTGCCAAATATGACTCAATGAGAGGACTGGGATGGAGTGGAAGGGTTATAGAGGAACTTGTCCATCCCTTCTGAACAGCTTGACAGCACACTGTCATTTACAGGAATTCATCTGAGGCTTTTGGTGCCACTGACTGACAGCAGCTGGAAACCAAACCATCACCCGAGAATACACAGAGCCCTCCTCAGAGAGAAATCAGGGAAGATTAGAGAGAGGAGAGATTTCTCTTTCTTCACTTCTCTCTCCCAGCACAGCAGTACATCTCTAGGAACACTGCCAACTCCCCCCAGTTATCTTATGTCTAGATGGAGTCGTTAAAAGGAAAGCTTCTGAGAAGAAATCTGGAAAGCTACATCGGCTAAACCCCACTGGAATTGAACCCCAGACAAGCCCGTCCTCCGTACCCCAACCCTGTACCCCAAAGCATTTCCTGATGACGTTGCAGAACCTAGCAAACATCTGGACGGAGAAGAAGGTTTAGAGGGAGAAAAGGCCCCAGAAGTGCAACACGATCAATTCAATGTAGGCTAGATACACCACTGTTTCGAGGCAATTGTTGTTTAAATCAATAACATGTGTATCATCCACCGTCTCTTTGAAATAACAATTTCTAGTCAGAAGGAATTCTATAGTCATAAAGTTCCTTACAATCAAGTTACCGTTCCCATTTATACAATATCTTATATAAATCGAGGGCATCTCTAACGGGGAGCTTGACAGATAGAATGAAACCAGAATATTCTTTGACCAGAATGACCCCCACTTGATTAATTATTTGTTCAATCACACACACGACCAAGTATTGAACACACTGCCCAGCTGGTATTCATTAATATTTAACCACTATCCGTTAGCTCTGAAAACGCTCAGCAGACCTCACAATGTGAAGAGATTGGCCGTACTATAAATGTGCAGTGAACTAGAAATATTTACATATAGCTTGGAGCCTTAATAAAAACCAATCACTGCACAAGGCCAAATCCTAACTTGAGACATGCGGTTAGAGCCTCTGACCTTAAGAACGAAACCAACTAACAATAACAAAAAGTCCAACCGAGTCAACAATCGTCCATCAAGTCTTTAACATGTTGTTCCAGACAATAGTGTTATCACAAACAAATACGTGCACTCGATAACATTAGCCTTCATCAAAGTTGAACATGTCAAGGTTGGTGAAACCCCCAGTATCGATCTTGGGGGTCTGAAAGTAAAAAAAGCTGAACAATGGTTTCAGCAAAAGGGCTCAGTTCCTGTTCACCCCAAAAAAGCATCACAGGGGCTAATGCGACAACACAAGGAATTCAGAAATCAGAGTCTCACTGTGAAAAGAAAATCCAGCCTGAACCATTGCAGGGAGGGAAATGTCTCCTGTCAGCAAATAGCAGGGGAACACTCCATCCCCCAACACTTCTCCCTGCAGCGCTCTTTCTCCCCCCCTTCCTCCTCCCCTCCCATCTGTAGTAATGGTACTGTACTGTGGTTTACTACAAAAAACAGAGGGGGAAGGTAAGACAACCCCACAATAACCAGTCCTCCACCACATACCTGGGTCATGTTCATTAGGCACCAAAGCATAGAAAACAGACTAAAACAGGGAGGGACTACCTGGACTTATGGGAGGGACTACATGGACTCATTTTCGTGTTCTGTTTCAGTGTTTTAAAACATTTTGCCCTACAGAACATGATTATGGTGCGGTAAGACCACCACCAGCCCGACTGCCTTGCTCTCCTCATTCCTCACCCTATCCAGGACTCCCTGCCTGGTCCAGGGCCACTAGAGAAAACACACACACCGAGGTAGAGGAGAGCAGAGGAGATCGATAGATATTGCATTGTTGTGTGTCTTGTGGTTCCAAGACTGCAATCTCTTTCCTGCCAAAGAATCAGCAGAGATATACAACCAAATTCTCTGTTTGCTTGATGAGCCAACAACTCGCCCACCCAAAGGCAAACTCTGACTCCAACGTAGGGGGAAAAACAAACAAGGCAGACTCAGACCTACATTAATGGTGAGGCCCTGCAGCCCCACTATCTAGGATAAACTATTTCAGCAAGCATGTATTATTATTATTAGTGAGTAATCAGATAAATGTGATGGGATCTCCTATCAGACCGTGCTGGAGAAAATATAGTATTTACTACTGAAACCCTTTAGGGTGAGAAATACAACTGAACATTAAGTTAATTTCTTCTGTTCGGAAACCTTTACTTCTGAAACCTTTGGGCTGAAATGAAAACAAACTGAACATGAAATTCTCAGGAGGGCTAGAGGCTACTTGGTGGTAACCCAACGTCTTCTGACCTCATTAAAAGGACTCCCTCTTTCACACAGCACCGGATTCAGCTAAAGCTCTACCCTTAATAAGAGCAGTCAAACTTGAAGATCTAGATGAACAAGTCATCTTTAAGTTCACGACCCTCCAACTGCTGTAGAAAATATATAACAGATGTGAGTTCATGTGCTCCCAGGCACCAGAGGGAATTCCCACTGTATTTTACAAACACTTGAGAAGTTCCGGCCAAAAAAACACCAGTTAGTCAGTCAAACATTTGGTCAAAACTTCAACCTGAGTGGCGGTGACCCCTTGGGAAGCACTGCTGGCTTGTTTGATTACAAATGACTGACATGATGATTTGAACAACATTATAAAAAATCTGTTCCAAACATTCAGCTTTAGCTTTTTGTCTGTAACATAATTCATGCAGGAAAGGACAACCTTCATTTAAAGTGTATGTATGTGTGTGTGCGTGCATGTGTGTGTAGTTGATTGACAGTTGCTGGTCATCTTTCAAGATTAGCATACACATTGGAAACTAAGCTGCTTTCCATTTCCCCCTTTCAGAATCCACTGGTTATTTATCACAATTAGCCCTCAAATAAAGCATGTGTGTTGGCAGCCACCCTGGAAAATATCAGAAAGCACACAAGCATTAGAAGAACGAGAGCTAACATTTTCATTTTAATATTTTCCCGGCTGAGCCAGCGTTTGGCTGTACAAGTATCACTCATCTGATCCTGTCGAGGTTCAGGAGATTACCTCACCTAAAAGCTTTTCATACAGCCACAATGTGAATGAAAGTAAAAACTTAACAGGGGCACTTAAGCAGTAGGTACAGCTAGGAGACATGACGCAGTAGCCTAAACCTGTAGCCTGTTCTGAACCACTTAATGGATCAGATGGACCACAACACAAGAGACAACAGAAACTGTGCTAATTAAGGAATGAGGTGGTCTGGTCTCATTAAGGCATGAGAAACAGATGGTTTGAGCCACAGGATTTTAACCCTGCTTGGAAGCACAGCTCAATGAACTTATACTCATAATTTCCCATCTTCAGGCAGAGAGAACCCTCTCAAAAGGACAAAAATCATAGTCCAATGAGACAGAGAGCGAGACTGTAGCTCAGTGAATTAGAGATCTTTCAGATTGGGTTGTTTGTTGCTGATTTCCAGGTTCCAGTTTCTCACGTTCAAGAAGTGAGACAATGTTAGACTAGGGGATGTTGGTAATCGAGAGGGATCATTGAGGAATTATAAGCATCTCTGACATGCGACTTCCAAAGAAGCACGTACAGTACAGGTGATTGCATGTAAAGGTTCCTCCAGTTTCTGCTGTGTGTATTTAATCAGAGCTTGATAAATTCACAATCTGCTGAAGTATTTGACAAATTACTGACTTAGTGTGTCATAAGTTGACATAGAAATCGGTCACTTGAAACCCAGCCAGTGCAAGGCTATGAATGGACTGTGTTGGCTACTCTAACAACACCGGACATGTTTCTGTTGATAACCTCATCGTTCTGCTAACTTGCAACACACTTCCATACAGTAGCCTAGATTCCACTGTTGTGTTCACAAGTTTTTGTGCTCCTGGTCAATTTCTCCTTAAGTGTTGTTGAAGAATAACCATCATCATCCCTCTCTAACTGGATTTTCGCATCATTGGCCAAAAGTACGCTATGACAGCCTACTTATCTTTTATCAGGAGAGAGAGAAACCTCGGTTGGCTTCTGGCACCACTGTTATCAATGCAAACCGAGACTGGGCAGATAAAAACTGTACACGAGACATAGTTTCACATAAACATTATACATGGGCCTGAGTAAGCTATGCTCCTTCGGGCTTGACTGTCCTGTTTCCGATGGGTAGGCTGATCGATGATGTCATGATTCAGTCATTTCCTACAGAGGGACAACTTTGGTAGCCTAGGCCAATGTGCTATGAACCAGTGGGATATTGCTCTAATGCAGTGGTCACCAACCGGTCGATCTTCAAGGCATTCCAAGTCTATCACCAAACATGTCTGTAGAAAAGCCAACGATAAAGGCTTGCGCTCCTTTTTGTTTTCGTGTTGCGCTGTTGTTGATAGGTGCACTTGATTCAGAAGCCCTGCGCAACGGGTAATCAGTGTTCCCATTACGAACCATTTAATTTGTCTCAAAAGATCTGTGGCTAAATCGAGTGTGCCTACTGCGCTGGCCAATCGGATAGCTCGAGTATGCCTATAGTTTCCACAACCCCGGCCAAACCAACATTTGATACTAGCCTACGTGAGAGTCATAACTTTTAACAGTCAAAGAATACAGCAAAGAGATGCTGTTTTTATGAGTGAGTTCATGTCTAAGTGATTTGAGGAAGTGACTTGCTGTTTGGGGTAAGTTTCTCAACGTGAAATCACACAAAATGTGTATTTTACATCAAAAATAGAGATTTGGTTATAAAAAGAGAACTTCTCCTTTAACTATCTTAGATGTACCAAATCAATTATCTCCAGCTCAGGGCTACAGCTATGCATTCGGTTTGCTAACTAAGTGGCCAGTTTGCAAGATCAAGCTTCTTAGCGACAGCAAATAAAATCGATCCCCTCCTGGATAAAGATGTATTTGTTAACTTCTTACATTTGGAAAGAAATAGCGCCACTTGTATGCACTGTCGATAATAGCATATACCCTGGTATGGTACAGGAACTGTATTAACCCTAACAGACAGCCAACTTTTCTCCTTAAATATACAATCTGCACTATTTACTGCTGTTCAATGGTGAATGCAGCACATAGGGATGTGTGAAACTTCCTCCTAAACCCGAAGTGTTGCCACTTGCGCTGCGGAATTGCTAACTTTTCAGTGGCGCCGACTGGTAAGACGTTTCGGGACAGCGGTCACATGTGCTAGCAAGGCGGAGGTCCTGGGTTTGAGCCTAATGTGAGCCGAATCAGGAGGAAGTGGTACTCTAAGCAAGCAGCGTGAAATCCTTTACACTTGTATCCAGACCTCCATCTTAACAATTAGAAAGTGGTTACATTTCTCTCATTTATATGGGCTGCCATTTGGCTGAACCACCATTTCAGGATTGTGGCTTTAAACCAGGGGCCGCCCCCGGTAATTCACTTCTCATTGGATTTGTTGTTCAATTTACATTAATTAACCTGTTCTAACATCTCTGACTGACAGTGACAGCTGTACAGTTACAGTTTAGCTCCCATTGCCAAATTAAAATATGGGGGAATAGCCTACCCATCACCCCTATGCTGCAGACTCTAGTGATGTGCATTCCAAGTATTATCAGCAGGCTCATTTGGCTCTGGTCAAGTAGAGTTTAAAGACGTACCTTAAACCATGAACAAATAACCAATCTCTAATGTAAAGCCTACAAAGTTGCCTGGCATTAGGTCAGATCATGACATGTGAGTTCAAATAGACTACAGTTTTACTTGACCAAATTATTAGGTGGCCTGAATAAAAAAAAATATATAAAAAAAAATGAACGCACTGAAAAAGGTCTCTCTCCTCACTATCTATTGTTCCTGCAGTGAGGAATTACAATATTCAGAGAATGTTTTTATAACTTTCTGCAGTTAATCGTTGTCTGGAGATAAAAAGCAGTAGTAACCATAGGCAAATAAGGGAGCCAAATATATGGCTCTTTCACAGATGCGAGTTGGTTCCTGACGTTCACCGTTACAAAAAAGAAAAACGTGCGAGCAAACCATCACTAGTGAACTCCTCCCTGTCCCACTGCTACAAACAATAAATTGGGCTTAGTTGGCTTGCATTCATGTCACTTCCAGTGATTGTTTTTACTTAAGTTTTGTTTCCAAAAATAGTTGGTAAACTTTTAATTCATGTGTGAAACTCCATGCAACCTACTAGCTTTTTTTCGTCGAAGTTTCTATAGGGGACAGTCCCATATGAAAATGGCCCCTGTAGCCTATTAACCATAACCAAAGCTTTTCTGCCGTAACAGTGCATCGGACTATTAAACCAAGGACGCCTCACATGTTCAACTCTGTAGCCCATTTTAGTTGCAGCACGCAGCAGCAATTGCCTAGCCCTAGTTGGTTGGTTCAGTTGGTTTATCCAAAACGGCAATAATTTACAAACCAAAATGTGGTTATATAAAAAATAAAAAATAATTTACTTTTTAGTTTACTCACTTTGCTTTTCACTTCTGCTGATAACCCGTAGGCTGGTCCCTTATTGAATGAAGTCATCTTTGTTTTAGATTTAAAACCAAAGTCAATATCCACTGCTACAAAGTAGCAAAAACGATTCCTTTCGGTTACTTCGTATCACACAATGAACCGCGTAGTTCGGTATCCCGTTCAGTCAGTCCAGAGGAGTTTAAATCCGTATAAATGTGTGGAGTGTGAGTATCGCAGAGGCTGGTCGGACTGAAACTTCTCGTTTCAATACCTCATTTTTGTTTGGAAAAAATGTCGCAAGACCATTGACGGAGCCTTCCGAGCCAATCAGAGGAGCGGATTCTACATACCGCTCTCCTCATTGTTGGAGGCTCCTACTGTAGCGCATTTCTATGGAAGAGAATGATGTTAGTGATTTTACCAGGAACAAGCTATCCTATGTTATCTGTTTTTACTGGGAATTTGATGTCTAATGATGTTGTGGCTACAAATTTCACAGATTTAGACAAACAGGACAGCAATCAAGCACAGCATAGCCTATAATACATCTTTATGTAAGTAATGGGTTTCATTTCATTGTTTGATGATTTGTAGGCTACTAAAAGAAACCAAAACACTGACTTATTTACTTACATTCCCTATAATAAGCTTGATCATGGCGCCTCTTATTGATTGGATCACTGCAGCCTTACATGCTTGTAAGATATTTACAGTTTAGTCATTTAGCAGACGCTCTAGCGACTTACAGTTAGTGAGTGCATACATTTTCATACTGGCCCCCCGTGGGAATCAAACCCACAACGCTGGCGTTGCAAACGGCATGCTCTACCAACTGAGCTACATGGTTGCCAGCCAAGATTTAATCAAATGAATTAAATCTTGGCTGGCTGCCGCATATTTTATTGGTGCAATAAGTTGTCCCATGAATAATAGCCAAGCTGCTACACACTAAAAGTGTTGAGTCTGCAAATTTTCCTCCATCCAAGCAACACACACACACACACACACAGATATCTATCTTCCTATGTCACTCAACCTTTGTGGTGTGTATAAAGGGATCCTGTTTGAAAGTATGCTGTTTGTCAGTGTCAGGTTCTCAGGTAATCCTCTACAACAGAAGTACAGTGGTTTCACAAGCTTCAACATTCCACCTGTTCAACTATTAAAGTAGCTGGGCAGAGTCATCGTTCTGCTTCCATCCTGGTATAGTCACGTTTAAAGGCAGAGTGCAGTCAAAAACATGATTTTCCTGTGTTTGATATATTTCCACACTATGAAATTGTGAAAATGATAATGCCCTTTTAGTGTAAGAGCTATTTGAAAAGACCACCTGAAATTTCTACCTGTTTTGGTGGGATGGAGATTTGTCCTTCCATGGTGACATCACCATGCGGTAAATTAGTTAATAGACCAATAACAAAGAGAGTTCCAAACCTCTCTGCCAATAACAGCACATATTCACCCTCTGATAGGTTCTAAGTTCTAGCTGCCTATGAAACCAGAGGTTGACCTCTCTGAGGATAGGGGTCACCATAAAACAGAATTTAGACAGCATTTAATACCCTAAGTGACATTCATCAGGCTAAGGCCGATGGCTGTAATTCAGCTATAGGCGCTTTAAAGTGATAGAGACGTCTAATCCATGGTTCACTCTGGCCTTGCAAGTTGGCTTATGTTTTGACCAGGGCCCAGGTACTCTGAGGCAGATGGAGAGAGAACAGAGATAAGGATGAGTGTACGCTGAGTGTACAAAACATTAAGAACACCTTCCTAATATTGAGTTGCATGTCATTTGGGTGGTGGACCACACACACAGGAAACTGTTGAGTGTGAAAAACCCATCTGCGTTGCAGTTCTTGACACAAACCGGTGCGCCTGGCACCTACTACCATACCCCATTCAATGGCACTTAAATATTTTGTCTTACCCATTCACCCGCTGAATGTCACACATACATAATCCATGTCTCAATTGTATCATGGTTTAAATATCTTTCTTTAACCTGTCTCCTCCCCTTCATCTACACCGATTGAAGTGGATTTAACAAGTGACATCAATAAGGGATCATAGCTTTCACCCGGATTCTCCTGGTCAGTCTAGAGCAGGTGTTCTTAATGTTTTGTACACTCAGTGTATAATGAGTGTCTTGTCTTTGGAATGGGGCAGATTGCTACGAACCTCTCAGAGGAACGTGTCTGTCTCCCCATATGAATATGTCTGTCTATTGTTTCTCTATTAAACATTTAAATATAGATGTCGTTCGCCTTATCTTTGGATTCAGCATTTTCCACACCTTGAGCAAATTCAGAATTCCTGACCCCTCCCCACTCAGACCACTCCCAGACAGTCCTAGCAAAATTCTTGCTTGAAAATAATGCTCTTTGCTAAGAAGCTATTTTTGTTTCTTTTTGCCCATTTTAACTGAAAACAATCACAGTAAGGTACTTAATTGTTACCCAGAAATGATTTTATATTGAGATAGAGACAGCTGCATTGGACCTTTGATATATTTTGAATATCTATTCTCAAGTCCTTTAGCATGTCATTGTCAAGATTCTAAAATGGTCAGTTATACAGTACCTCTCCACATTGTAAGAGGCCAGAGGGGCATTTGTTACTGACCCACTTGTGTCATCCTCATAGTAGTCAACTTCAAAAGGGCTCTGATTTCAAAAGATATGGTCTGTGTGTGTGCTGAGTCAGTGACATACCTCAGACAATGCCTCTCTTCTGCTGAGTCTGAGGTTAGCAGTCCGTGTAGCACAGGCATGTTCCAAGACATATTTTCTATGTTGTCGAGATCCACTCATCTTATCATAACGTAAGGCCTACATGTATTATACTAGCCTAGAATGATTCCTAAGGAATCTCTAACTCAGCCTAAAGTGAGATTTATGACTCTTCAAGGTACGCCCAGCCCTACCTTGTCTAATGTCTGGTATAACCTGATGATAACCTTGATAACGTCGATGAGCAAATGACTGAGTGCAAATACAGACATGAAAGCTCAGCTTTCAAATACACATTTTTTAAAATCTAAATGAGCCTAACCTGGTAAAATAAAATAAATACATGCTGCAAACATCTTAAAAAGCTCTCTAAGTTCGATCACTTCACCTTGTGTCACACCCTGATCTGTTTCATCTGTCTTTTTGCTTGTCTTCACCCCCCACCAGGTGTTTCCCATTTCCCCCCATTATCTCCTGTGTATTTATACCTGCGTTTTCTGTTTGTCTGTTGCCAGTTCGTCTTGTCTCGTCAAGTCCTACCAGCGTGTTCCCAGTGCACTAGTTTTTGTTTTTCCCTAGTCATCCCGGTTCTGACCTGTTTGTCCTGATCCTGCCTGCCGTCCTGTACCTGCCTGACTCTGATTTGGATTACGACTCTTTGCCTGCCTTGACTTACCTTTTGCCTGCCCCTTGTTCAGTAATAAACTCTGAGACTCGTACTATCCGTCTCCTGTGTCTGCATCTGGGTCTTAGCCTGAGTGTGTGTGTAGGGGCTCCTATTCCCATTGGTTTCTTGATGCGGGTTATGATGTGGTCTATGAGTTAATTAAATGGCAGATGCTGCAGGCCTTTAGGTTCGGGTATAATTTATGGTTTGAGATGTATGGACTCGGGCCATGATGGGGGTTGTGCCCAGTGCGTTCTCAGCAGGAACGAGATGTCACCCATCCATAACCATGTTAGGTTGAATGAGTTTGTGCTCGTATCTGAACATAAGGATGGACTAAACATACAGAGTTCTGAAAATGTGTCAACTTGCTTAGTTTCGATGTACATTATCCAACTTGAAAGACCATGTGTTGTCAGGACATAAATAAGTACAATTTGAGGTTTGAAACCCTACAAATTGTATTTTATTCAACCATGAAAAAAGTATAGCAAAGCCCTGTGCCAAGTCTCTACTGTTATCAACGAGACAGATTTAGAAATGTGTGTATTTTACACACTGACATTCTCAGATAAGACCTATAAATAGCGGAAACGTCAGCAACAGAATATACTTTTCCCTTTCTCTTAATGGGCCAGTAAAACTGAACGTCTCCATTATAGTCTATGCCCATTCTAGTTGAACCACAGCAACCAGGAACAGGAAACACATCACAATGGAACTGCACAACTATTTATCTCAGACCCCAATTACATTATATACTGAATAAAAATATAAACGCAACATGTAAAGTGAAACTTGAGCTGAAATAAAAGATCCCAGAAATGTTCCATACACACATAAAGCTTATTTCTCTCAGATTTTGTGCCAATTTTTTTTACATCCCTGTTAGTGAGCATTTCTCCTTTGCCAAGATAATCTATCCACCTGACAGGTGTGGCATATCAAGAAACTGATTAAACAGCATGATCATTACACAGGTGCACCTTGTGCTGGGGACAATAAAAGGCCACTCTAAAATGTGCAGTTTGGTCACATGACACAATTCCACAGATGTCTCAAGTTTTGAGGGAGCGTGCAATTGGCATGCTGACTGCAGGAATGTCCACCAGAGCTGTTGCCAGAGAATTTAATGTTAATTTCTCTACCATAAGCCGTCTCTAACGTCATTTTAGAGAATTTGGCAGTACGTCCAACTGGCCTCACTACTGCAGACCATGTGTAACCACGCCAGCCCAGGACCTCCACATCCGGCTTCTTCACCTGCGGGATCATCTGAGACCAGCCACCCGGACAGCTGATGAAACTGAGGAGTATTTCTGTCTGTAATAAAGCCCTTTTAATTGGCTGGGCCTGGCTCCCCAGTGGCCTATGCCCTCCCAGGCCCACCCATGGCTGTGCCCCTGCCCAGTCATGTGAAATCCATAGATTAGGGCCAAATAAATTTATTTCAATTGACTGATTTCCTTATATTAATGTAACTCTGTAAAATTGTTGCATGTTGCGTTTATATTTTTGTTCAGTATAATTCAAATGCTCCAAAGACAACAGCATTCTTCGCTTTGAAGCGTTTGTTGTCTTGAAAAACGTTCCCTATAATTAAATATCAATGACGTACATTCAGGGAAGTGTTTGGTTGTCTGTTTAAGTCACACTTGATGCAAGCACACAAATATGCTTTTAATTTGCGCTTCCTGCCATGCAGGATGGAAAGGTGTTATTACAGAGAGAGATGTACAAGTAAAACATAATGTCAAAGAGTACGGCTGAAATAAAACCTATCCTTCCACGACTCTGAAGACAGAGCTTCTCCTTTTCATTCCGGCAAGGGTATTAATTAAATGTGCATAAAACTTTTCTAAAATTTCCCTCATAATACCTGATGTTGTTGATTGAAAGTACTAAGTGGCATGGATATAGCACCTCTGTTCAGAAATACTAATGTGCTCTCTTGCCTCTGTCATTATTATACTGGGTTCCTCTCTCACAATGACGGCTGCTATATCACTACACAGCAATACAAACAGCTGGTTTCACCGTTCTGTCTTTGACATAATGTTTTTGGGTGTTCTCTCTGTTCCTCTTTATCGGTTTTAATTAAAAACCAGAAAGCTGAGGTAATGTAATAGCTTGATTTATTCAATGGTAGTTAGCCTACACCAACACCTCACTCAAATCAGGTATAGCTACATATATTTTCTATTTCTTACACTGTACTCTGTACCATATATTAAAGTAACATTACATAACACATTCCACTGATCCAAAGCATCTTTACATAGTAACTATGTATAGAGCTCTATGTTCCAAAGTCTTTTCATTGGAGTTGTAGAAACATTTTGATCACAGTATATCAATCAAGCAAACTATTAAGCATGTATTTTTTTTTTCAGGGCAAAGTGTTCCCATTTGTAACATAATTAAAAAGTTGTATCAGTAACAACGAAGGCAGTCTTTGTTCCATCATAGTCTGATTAGTGTCAGACTATCCTTCCTAGGTAGATGGATTTGGGGTATTTGTCTTTCAGGGTCGACCACTGTATGAAGAAGAAGTCTGAGAGGGTAGAGGACCTTCCCAGAGAGGAACAAGCTGTCAACTCTGCAGATGCTTTCGACGTAGACTATCAGGACCTTCTTCAATCCCAGGAGAACTCCTGCAGCGCACAGGGGGCGCAGGTCCCTGGGCCGTTACGCAGCACCTGAAACAACAGAGAGAGAGAGAGGTGAAATAGAATGGTCAATGTAGCGATCAGGCTGGTTCCAGTAGGTTAGGTTATCAAGGTGAGAGTGAGTGAGTTAAAGAGAGGGATGAGCACATGTTCAAACACCGTGACACTCCAAGCCACTCACAAGCCCTCAAAATCACCAAGTTGCGCCTCCACTCCTTCTCAACTCACTCTTGAGAAACAGAATGTGCTGTACTCTGCTGGCTCTGGATACACAGTCAGGAGGGAGGGATGGAGGGAGATGGAGATTTTGAGAAAGAGCAAGGAGATGGAGTAATAGGAAACTGAGAAGAGCAAGAAAGAGGGGACATAGATCCGGGCCAATAGAGAGCAACTTCATGCCTAGAGGAGTCCAAGAAGAAGAAGAAGAAGAAGAAGAAAAAGAAGTAGAGAAAGAGAGACAGAGAGACAGAGACAGAGAGAGACATAGAGACAGAGAGGATATAGAACTATAGAGACTCCATACCTTGTGGGCTAGAGGAGAGTGAAGGAGTATGGTCTGGGGTGTAGGGGAAGGAGGAGCAGGAGAGAGTGAAAGAGGGTGTAGGGCTAGAAGAGAGTGAGGGAGTAGGGTTTGGGGAGTAGGGGAATTACAGGAAAGCAGACAGACAGACGGCTGTGGAGACACAGGGCCGTAGGGTCTGGAATATACATCATACATCTAGCTCTCTCATAACGTTGGCTCTCTCAGCACAGACATAGTCTGGGCACACACACACCAACAAACACTGTAATATCCTCTCCACACCGTCATGGAAATCAAGCCATACTGGCACTACAATCATACTGTCATTAACAGGGTTGGGGGGAGGGGCTGATTATACTTGAATTATTACTACTGAAACAATCAGATAACTACTGTTATTTACTAAAAATGCCATAATTCACACAGTAACAGTACTAGAAGTACAATATCTCATTAAAACAGGTGTGATTGATAACCATGCCTGACATCAGCATATTTCACGTCCTCACAGCTCCAGTTCCTAGCAGTGAGGTCAGTGTCAGCCAGCATTGAAGAGCTGAATAGCTGACTCTACACTCTAGCTCAAAAGGTTATATAGCGTTGAGCCATGAGTGTTTGCTCTCAGCTAGGTCCTAATTGGGAAAAACACTGTCTCCATCTGTCATCACACAGGTGCAAATTTGAGTGGAAGCAGAGTGAGGCTTCAACACAAAATAAATCAAAGGCTGGAGGACTCTCTGTGCCCCCTCCCTTCGCCCTTCCGCACTGTACCTAAGATACTGGATTCACTGGTGGTGAATTGACTGAGAAATGGACCCATATTTGCTGGTGGTTGCAATGAAATTCTATGTTTAACTACCCTACAGTACATACGGATGGACTGTGTCTACAACTCCTGTACACTTGGTTTATGGCTGCTTTGTAAGGGAAACCCTCAACATAGGTCTGCGTTCCATTTGGAAGAAACGTATTGAGTGAAATATTCCGTAAAATGCTAAACTTCCACCCCTGTCCACTATACTGCTATATTCATACATTATGTATTCCAGGAAAAAAGCAGTGGCCTTTGCTGGGAAAGCTTCTTAGATTGGGCTTAGTTTGGGCATTTCTAGCATTGGAATCACAGTACACCTCACGTAAGAAGAGTGTTGGCTCTCTAAAGCCTTTCTTTTGTAGCGCTGCATTCATAAACCTGACTGGAACATTCCTAGCATGCTTTCCCTGGCATGGTGTGTGTGTTGGCACCGTGGGGTTTATACCATAGGCCTACTGACTAACCCTTCTTCTGTTGTGCTGTGTTCTGGGAACAGGCATGATTCAGCCCTGCTACACAACCTTGCTGAGGCCTAGAATGAGCAGAACCCGCACATGATTTCCATGACGATCAGCTGTATGACATCAGACCACAGGCATGCTAGGGACACCTGTCCATTTGTTCAAGGCCCATAATTTGTTCAGTTGACCGACAGACAGAGAGATACTAATTGCACGTCACATCTGAGTGAGGTGTTGATGATGCATCACAGGTTGAGGAGGAGTGTGCTAAAACCGGAGAGAAGTCACATACCTGATAACATCATCACAACAAACAGTGCACCAGGCATATGTCTATAGTCAACAACACATTGAGCAACAGCAGGTGAGGCGTTTGTCTATCTGTCTATCGTAAATTGTAGTCACTTCCTGATTCACTGTCTGGGGTAGATGGGGTGAGTCACCAGACAGCAGACTAGACTGTCTACAGGTGTTCAAAAGTGTTATAAAAACTTCCGCAGATCACAACCACGTTGTACCTGAGTGAGCCTGAGACGATAACATAGCATGTAATTCATGTCTGAAATAAGAAACTAGACCTGGTCTGTACGCCCGCTATACTGACTGTACTAAGCTCCCTGTAAGCCTAAACTTCTGCCCAAGGAGCAGTAGCCGAGCCTAGCTGGTGACAATTCAAACCAGAGTGAACATACAAGTAACTGCCAAAATAAAGGAAACACACGAGTAAATGAGGGATACAAAGTATATTGAAAGCAGCTGCTTCCAAACAGATGTGGTTCCTGAGTTAATTAAGTAATCAAAACGTTCCATCGTGCTTAGGGTCATGTATAAAAATGCCCAGTTGCCCATTACTTTGGTTATCATGGATAGAAGAAGAGATCTCAATGACTTTGAAAGAAGGAGTTCAAAGGAGCATAGTGGATTTAAAGTGTGTGTGGGAGATTCTGGAACGGCGCCTGAGACAGCGTTTTCCACCACCATCAACACCAAATGATGACATTTTTTGTGGAAGAATGGTGTTGCATCACTTCAATAGATTTCCAGACACTTGTAGAATCTATGCCAAGGCGCATTGAAGCTGTTCTGGTGGTTCTGGTGGCTCGTGGTGGCCCAACACTCTATTAAGACACTTGATGTTGGTGTTTCCTTCATTTTGGCAGTTACCTGTATATCTTTGGCCAGTTTGGGCGTAGAAAGTTCTAGATAACCGTACCTCCTCCTTTCAATACTGTCAGCCTCTACGAATACAATATGGTTCATTATTGAGTGTAGAGAGCGATAGATCTGTGGATATATGACCTGAACCTCATCAAGCGCCAGAGAAATATCGATTCATCAAAAGAGTTGGGCTGAGTCAGTGGGTTTATGAGTTGGCCCGCCACATGCCTTCTCCTCTCTTCCTCCCACAGACAGACTCTATGTATTAGGTGCTGACTTGCAGACTGCCTCTCTGATAGATCGGCGGTTTACACAGCTGCTTGACGTAAACGTCTGTGAATGTTACTTTTTTATTATTATTATTTTTGACAGCTGGAGTGGGGATGGGTGTTGGGTTACCGTGGAGATGGGGAGATGTCACAGAGGCTCTGTTTAAACAGATGGAACTGGTGGTTCCAGTGAAATACCGACCAACAGTGAATAGGGCCCACATTCAACCTATAGATGCCTGAATGTTTTATATAAGGGGATAAACAGCAGAGATATAAGAATGAGTGACACACACAAATTAAAATAAATGTTGTTACTAGTAATTACAGTGTTACTATACAGGTATAAAAGCAACCTAATGTAAAGGGTTACCTTTTATTTTAGGCAGAGCACATAGTCCCCGAAAGAAATAGCTTATTCGGGGCTACCAGCAAAGTTTCAACAGTAACCATCTGAAACCAATTTATATGGATACATTCAACACAGACAGTGGCTCATAAATGTGTTGTGCAGTGTCTCATATACATACATGAGCTAATATACACGCATGGAATGTCTGAGGTCCAGTTCGTTCTATATTCCTACATGCCGGCCCTGACATGTTTGGTTAACAATCAATCCAAAAGCCTGATTAGAGTCCATGTCAGTACCTTTAAATATAACATGAAAGTAGAGGAAAAGAGAGGGACGGTAGTATCGTATTCCTGGTCGGAATCTTTCTAGAAACAACCAAACAATCCATTCCATTCTCTAACCTTATTTCCTAATAAGGTTAAGATGAACCATATGGTGTTTCACCACCGGAGCGGAGCGGAGTGGAGCGGAGTGGAGTGAACATTCAGGGGGAAAACAAACGTGGAAAAGCTAAGCCTGGCTTTTGCTTAGCCCTAGCAGAAGCTACTGTACCTAACAGCTCACACAGGAATGCCGAGTACTGGGAAGGCCACCGTGGGGATCCTTGGCCACGGTCATTTGGTTTGGTTCAATGTTTGACCTTCAATCAAAGCCATTGCACTATATCAAATATATATTCTTCCATCACTATTCTCGGTTCTCCCAATTGTTTTCCAGTCATGGAAAAGTTGAGTGTGTCTAGAGGATCCAATTGACATAGGACCTAGTCTGTTGAGAGGTAGGACCTAGGCTATCTGTCACTGCTATACATGATTAGGGTTAACATTAGCCACATAACCAAGTGTTACTATAGACTGAGCCATGGATTGTCTATATGTAATTTCACCTTTAGACCAGATGAGGGCATTGTCATATGGGGAATTCAATAAGACACCTGATTGTAGGAAAGGTGTAACCCTGGCCTCAATAAGAAGTGCTTCCAAATAAGAATAAATGTCCTTGTCTGAAACCAACCTTGGGAAAACAATACTTACATCATTATACAGCCCAAATGTATTCTGGAATGCATTATGTAACTACGTTTTATTCTAGCAAAACAAAAGTAGTAACACTTCAAACCTCTCACTGTGAAGAAGCTGTCATCTTATTGGATTGTGCTGACACATCTGGGGAAGGAAACAGTGGGGGTGATGGGGTGTGTGTGTGTGATCTCACAAATGTCCTTTTATGGCTAACACACACTTAACAACCTCAAGAGACCCCCGCTCCCCCTCTCCTTACAGAGACCTCCGCTCCCCCTCTCCTTACAGAGACCCCCACTCCCCCTCTCCTTACAGAGACCCCCCTCTCCCCCTCTCCTTACAGAGACCCCCACTCCCCCTCTCCTTACAGAGACCACCGCTCCCCCTCTCCTTACAGAGACCCCCACTCCCCCTCTCCTTACAGAGACCACTGCTCCCCCTCTCCTTACAGAGACCCCACTCCCCCTCTCCTTACAGAGACCCCCGCTCCCCCTCTCCTTACAGAGACCCCCGCTCCCCCTCTCCTTACAGAGACCACCGCTCCCCCTCTCCTTACAGAGACCCCCACTCCCCCTCTCCTTACAGAGACCCCCTCTCCCCCTCTCCTTACAGAGACCCCCACTCCCCGTCTCCTTACAGAGACCCCCTCTCCCCCTCTCCTTACAGAGACCCCCACTCCCCCTCTCCTTACAGAGACCCCCCTCTCCCCCTCTCCTTACAGAGACCCCCTCTCCCCCTCTCCTTACAGAGATCCCCACTCCCCGTCTCCTTACAGAGACCCCCACTCCCCCTCTCCTTACAGAGACCCCCTACTCCCCCTCTCCTTACAGAGACCCCCACTCCCCCTCTCCTTACAGAGACCCCCACTCCCCCTCTCCTTACAGAGACCCCCACTCCCCCTCTCCTTACAGAGACCCCCCACTCCCCGTCTCCTTACAGAGACCCCCTCTCCCCCTCTCCTTACAGAGACCCCCACTACCCCTCTCCTTACAGAGACCCCCTCTCCCCCTCTCCTTACAGAGACCCCCACTCCCTGTCTCCTTACAGAGACCCCCACTCCCCCTCTCCTTACAGAGACCCCCACTCCCCCTCTCCTTACAGAGACCCCCACTCCCCCTCTCCTTACAGAGACCCCCACTCCCCGTCTCCTTACAGAGACCCCCACTCCTCCTCTCCTTACAGAGACCCCCACTCCCCGTCTCCTTACAGAGACGCCCGCTCCCCCTCTCTTCCCATCTGCCCAGCCCCCCGGCCTGACCCCACACTTCACTGTGATTACTCCCCAGAATGTATCCTGCCTCCACTGTGAAACCCCCCTGCTTCCTGCCACCGCTCCCACACAGACATGCTCATGTTTGGTCAAAACAAATAAACGTCAGCTTTTTAGTTATCCTCAAGAATGCATGCTGTTAGTGCTGACACAAACACTATATGTTAGAAGGAGAGAGGGAGAGTGTTGAACAGATTCGTAAAACTTTGTATGTACATCCCTACAGTATAAGGGTAATAAACTCACGCTCTGCGCTACACCCCTCTTTTCCCTTCCTCCCTCTCTCCCTCCATTCATCCCTGTTAGGCTACAGTCAGCTGGCTGTGAGGAACCAGTCAGGTCCTGCCACATCCTGTGAACAAGGCCCTTCTCCCTCAGTCCGGCCCCCAGCCCCCGCCATTACACAACACACAGAGGGGGAGAGGAGACGGTAGAAGACAGGAAGGGAGGAGGGGTAGAGAGCGAGGGAGAAAGAAAGTGGGAGGCCCAGGTTTTTCTGTTCAGTCCTGTAGAAACCTCCCACCCAACTCTATCTATTTGTCTCTCCCTCTTCCCCTTTCTGTCTCTCTGTCTCTCCCTCTTCCCCTCTCTGTCTCTCTGTCTCTCCCTCTTCCCCTCTCTGTCTCTCTGTCTCTCCCTCTTCCCCTCTCTGTCTCTCTGTCTCTCCCTCTTCCCCTCTCTGTCTCTCTGTCCTCCTCCCTCGTTATCCCCCTCTCTGTCTCTCTGTCTCCTCCCTCTTCCCCTCTCTGTCTCTCTTGTCTTCCTCCCTCTTCCCCCTCTGTCCTCGCTGTCATCTCCCTCGTTCCCCTTTCTGTCTCTTCTGGTCCTCTCCCTCTTTCCTCTCTCTGGTCTCTCCTGTCCCTCCCTCTGTCCCCTCCTCCTTCCCTCTTCTTCCTCTTCCCCCCTCTCTCGTCTCTCTGTCCTCTCCCTCTTCCATTTCCTGGTCTCTCCCTCTTCCCCCTCTCTTATATCTGTCCTCTCCCTCCTTCCCCCCTCCTGTCTCTCTGTATCTCCCTCTTATCCCCGCTCTTGTCTCACCCTCTTCTCTTCGTCCCCGCTCTGTCCTCACCCTCTTTCCCCCTTCCTCTGTCCTCTCCCCTGCCCTCTTTCCCCTCTCTGTCCTCTCTGTCCTCCTCCCTCTTCCCCGTCTCTGGCCGTTTCTGTCTCTCCCTCTTCCCATTCTGTCTCTCCCTCTTCCCTCTCGTCTGCTGTCTCTCCTCTCCCTCTCTGTCTCTCTTCTCCCCTCTCCCCTCTATCTCTCTTCCTCTCCCTCTCCCCCTTCCCTCTCTGTCCTCTTCCTCTCCCTCGTCCCCTCTCTGTCTTTCTCTTCTCCTCCGCTCTTCCCCTCTCTATCTCTCTTTCTCCCTCTTCCCCTCTGTCTCTCCCTCTTCCCCTCTCTCTGTCTCTCTGTCTCTCCCTCTTCCCATTCTGTCTCTCCCTCTTCCCCTCTCTGTATCTCTGTCTCTCCCTCTTCCCCTCTCTGTCTCTCTGTCTCTCCCTCTTCCCCTCTCTCTCTCTCTCTTCTCCCTCTGTTCTCTCCCTCTTCCCCTCTCTGTCTCTCTGTCCTCTCCTCTTCCCTCTTCTCTCCCTCTTCTATCTCTCTGTCCTCTCTCCTGTCTCTCCCTCTCCCCCTTCCCCTCTCTGTCTCGCTGTCTCTCCCTCTTCCCCTCTCTGTCTCTCTGTCTCTCCCTCTTCCCCTCTCTATTCTCTCTCCTCCTCTTCCCCTCTTCCTCCTCCCTCTTTCTGTCTCTCTTCTCTCCCTCTTCCCCTTTTCTCGTCTCTCTTCCCTCTCTGTCCGTCCTCCCTCCTTCTGCCTCTCTTCTTCCCTCTGTCTCTCTGTCTCTCCCCCTTCCCCTCTCTGCTCTCGTCCTATCTCTCTCCCCTCTCTTCTCCTGTCTCTCTCTCCCTCTTCCCCTTCTCTCTCTGTCTCTCCCTCTTCCCCTCTGTCTCGTCTCTCCCTCTTCCCCTCTCTCTCTCTTCCTCCCTCTTCCCTCTCGTCCTCTCTCTCCCCTTCCTCTGTCTCCTCTGTCCTCTTCTCTCCCTCTTCCCCTCTCTGTCTCTCTGTCCCCTCCCTCTCTTCCTCCTCTTCCCTCTCTGCTCTCTGTCTCTCTCTCTCTTTCCCCTCTCTGTCTCTCTGTCCTCTTCCCTCTTCCCTCTCTTCTCTGTCTCTCCCTCTCCCCTCTTCTGCTGTCCTCCCTCTCCCCTCTCTCTCTCTGTCTCTCCCTTTCCCCTCTCTGTCTCCTCTCCCTCTTCCCCTCTTCTGTCTCTCTGCTCTCCCTCTCCCCTCTCTGTCTCTCTGTCTCTCCCTCTTCCCCTCTCTGTCTCTCTGTCTCTCTGTCTCTTCCCCTTCCCCTCTCTCTCTCTGTCTCTTCCTCTTCCCCTCTCTGTCTCTCTGTCTCTCCCTCTTCCCTCTCTTCTCTCTCTTCCCTCTCCCTCTCTGTCCTCTCCTCTCCCCTTCCCTCTCTCTTCCCCTCTTCCCCTTCTTTCCTCTGTCTCTCCCTCTTCCCTCTCTGTCTCTCTGTCCCTCCCTCTTCCCCTCTCTGTCTCTCCTCTTCCCTCTGTCTCTCTTCCCCCTCTTCCCTCTCTGTCTCTCTGTCTCTCTGTCTCTCCCTCTTCCCCTCTCTGTCTCTCTGTCTCTCCCTCTTCCCCTCTCTGTCTCTCTCCCTCTTCCCTCTTCCTCTTCCCCTTTCTGTCTCTCTCTCCCTCCCTCAGTCTCTCTCTCTCCCTCTCAAGAGGTAGAAATAATAAGCTATGCAGCCGCTTTTATCGTACTAGACACTTGATACATCTCATAAGCTGTCCCGTGCCAGGTTAAACATCAAACTGAAGAAGTAAGCAGACTATCAATTCTTTGAAAATAATTGTGCTTCATTATTTCTAATTCACAATAGCAAAATGACAAGAAATATCAAAGAACTGAACTCATGAGTTGATATCTAGGCCTATCTACAAGTAGGCCTACAATAAGACAAAGCTATAAAGAACAAAGTCTTTGCTGAGAAAATGAGATGGGAATGAGTCTGAGTTGAGTGAACTGGTTTACTCCAAAAAATAGACTTAGACCACTGAAAGGCCCATGAATCATGAATATGTCATTAATATTACAATACAGGAAGAGATTGTACACACTGACTTGGCGGGACTTTTGACTAGTGAGAGGACTGAAGGCCATGAAATGTTTAACATTGTAGATTATTGCTGGCAGACAAATGTTGATAGTGATGTGGTAGCAAAGGTATCTGAAAATGACAAGTTGGGAAAATGGTACCACAACCTGGTCCCAGATCTGGCCGGATTATATTCTATTATGAATAAACCTTGCATGTCTGATCTGAGAGTGAAAACCTAGAGTACTATGTCAGACCTGATTACGCTATATGACATATTATATTATGATTCAACATACCATGTCTGGCCTGAACACCAGAGGGATGGAGTACAGCAGGGTGTTGACCACAGAGGAACTCCAGGACTGACACACCTCACTGCTACGAGGGATCCTCTGGATGGTAAACTGACGGGGGAGGGAAGTGATGAAATGAGTAGGCTCAATCTCACAGCACAATTGATAGGACAAAGTAGGCTAAAATGATCAAAGTTACAGCAGGGACAGGTACCACAAGCAATGCTGAATACACAGAGATACATATACATTCTCTCTATGGTAAGTAGTACTGGGAAATGTGTACACCAAATAAAGAAGGGGTTGTCGCCATCTGGTGGTGAGAATGGGAATTGCACTGATAACTTGGGTCTATAGCTCATCTCATGTCACTGAGATCTAACGACATAGATGAGTGAATAGAACTGGATTTACAAAGATCACAGCAATGAACAACTTTGTTAGGTAAGCTATTGTAACAATAAAGGCTTCATACTTAAATCAAAGATTTGAGAAAACACATCTAAAGGATCGCATTATTCAACAGACTTTCCAAACGTGGGTCTTTTGTAGACCCACTTTCTCTCTGCTTTAACCTCATGTGAAAATAAAAGTTCTGCACATGCGCCATATGTGGACAAAAAATGAATAACTTGTGGGGGACCTGTCGTGTGATTGTGTGTGAATATCTCTTTAAGAATTTTGATGTAATTCGATCCCCATAGGATTAAGCGCCTTGGGAAGTTCGGGTCTTTTTACTGATTCGGATCTTTTCGACTCGTTCAGTCAAAAGAAAGAATCTTTCGACTAATTTCGTGCATTTGAGTCAATAATGCCCAGAGCATGCAGGACCCCCTACCGGCGAACGATTAAATAAAAACTCGAAAGTCACGATTCTACGAGCCTCTCGTTCAGCATAGAGGGCTTAATGGAGTTGCCATTTGTGACGGAGACTTGTAAACGTCTGCTTTAAGCAATGTTAATGTTTCAGGCATAAAAAATAAGATAATTTATTGATACATTTGAAACTAGGTCTAATTGTGGCCGGAACAGGACTTGATTGTTAACGACTCATGGCGGAATGCATTGCTTGACTGCCGTGAGGGTGATAAATTAGTAGACTCAATTATTCCGCTGCTCTCTCCTTCGCCACATACTTCGAACATGTAAATGTATTACTTCTCATTGCGGACAAGAAACGTCCGTGGGCGTGGCATAGTGTTTGATCGGAACAAGGAGTCTGGGTAGCCAGGCAAGGTGATAACAAAGATTATGGATAAACTGACAAGATACCTGTCTCTCCGCCCTAACAATTGGAGTCGTTGTCCACAAAATGGTACGACGGGCTGTCTAGCTCCCGCCTATACTTTCTTTGAATTGGTGGAAACATCTCATTATTGTAACCCTTTTTAAAATATTTGATAATGGTTGCTGACGTTAACCACCTGTATTCAATGGAGAGAGATGCTTTGCTACTAGCCTCGTATCATGAAAATGCATAGCCATCTCGAGACAACGCCGATATAAAGTGTTTTTTATATATATATATATATATTTTTTTTTTGTCATTTAGCAGACGCTCTTATCCAGAGCGACTTACAGGAGCAATTAGGGTTAAGTGCCTTGCTCAAGGGCACATCGACATATGTTTCACCTAGTCGGCTCGGGGATTAGAACCAGCGACCTTTCGGTTACTGGCACAACGCTCTTACCCACTAAGCTGGATGTCACGTGTCCTACTTATATCAGTACACTTGTAACAACTTAAGTATTACGAAACTTATATTCGCTCAATTAAACCTCACGTAGCAAATAAGCCATTCAATTTTGTTGACCAAATTCGACACTCATTGGATCTCCATACAAAAACTCCTTGCTTAGTGGGCGAAACCACGGAAAATCGCCACCTGCTGGAGGGAGACATATTTTTAGCCGAGTTGGCCCTCTCTCTTCCTCTCTGGTGATAAGCACAGTCGTTCGCGAACTGCAGCTCCCCAAACGATTCGTTCTAGAGTTCGAGTTTGTTGAGCAGAGGCTGTGTATGTTTTGGTTTTACAAAGCTTTGTCCATCACAATATTCAATAATACATGAATTGCAGTCATTCTTGCACCATGCGATCAATTGTCAATTCTAAACATGTATTTTTCTTCTCTATGCTCATGATCTATTTTCTTGCGCGCATATGACAGACAAGTGGTGGTCGTAGTACGTCTCTGCAAACGAACGACTAAAATGAACCAGTCACTTAGAAAAATGAATCATGACTCTCGAGTCAGGTAAAAGAGTCGTTTAAAAAGAATGAATCATTCGCGAACTGCACATCACTTCCATAAACGACCATCAGTTATGCATTTAGGCTACTCTGCTGCATCCCACACCGCTGTCAATATGCGTGTTTTGTGGGGTGGATTTATCATTCATTGCATCGCAGTTTAGAACTACGGTCCCGCATCCCTTTGCACGGTAGAATTAGGCTAGTAGGGTATGAGTCAGAGAGCTATCCGTTTGAACAAAATGGTTAAACATGGCATTCGACAGAATTTGCTATGCCTTAGCACCATCACAAACCAGTTGAGTGCGGAACATATATCTGAATGAAAGACTGAATAAGAGGTAAGGCTGTTGGATTTGTGTCTATTTAGGCTATCTGCTTTTATAATTTTAAGCATATACTTTTTTTAAATATATTTTTTATTATTTTACATTTAAAGGGAATGCTGCGGTTCGGCCAATGCGGCGTGAACTGGCCCATGCATGTTGTTGGTTACATTGTTTGACATTTCCGAATTAAAATGATGCTGCATCAATTGACTGCATGATCTTTGATTGTAATGCATCTGCCGTGTAACTGTATCATTGCAATGTTACACGTTACATCACAGCAGATGCTGCGATTAATATGCTACATTTTGTTGGGTGATGGTTTGCAAGCAAATCCAACATATCGCCACATTTAGCGACACTGTTGAAAAATCTGACTTGAGTTGACCGACGCAAAATAGGCTTTTAGTGCAGTTGTTACCATAGGCGATTTGGTCTTATCTAGAAAATATTGCAAAATAAGTAGTAGTTTAATACAACCTTTGCACCAATTAGCCTAAATCTTGAGTTGGATGTGTTTTTATGTTTGGTGATTATTTTTTATTTTTTTACTGCTACCACGTGTTGTCTCATTGCTGAAAATGTTAACACGTTTCCCTCATGACTGTCATGCACCCTCAAACCCCCATTACTTCTTCTTCGTGTGGCCACTTGAAAATGCATGTAAAAGTCAGGGATGTAGCTCAGTTGGTAGAGCATGGCGTTTGCAACGCCAGGGTTGTGGGTTCGTTTCCCACAGGGGGGCCAGTATAAAAAAAAAAAGGTTAAAATAAAAAAATATTAAACATTGTATGCACTCACTAACTGTAAGTCGCTCTGGATAAGAGCGTCTGCTAAATGACTAAAATGTAAATGTAAATTACAAGTGCTTAAGGCAGTTTTTTTCAGTTTCCCCGACCTTGTTTAGGCAACAGCATGACCCTGGCTGTATCTTGACCTAGGCCTATTCCAACTTTTGTTGTTTATTAGGCAACTTGTAGATTTATAAGGCTGCTTGTATTACAATCACATAGGCTACTAACTGCCCCCTTATTCAATCCCTCTTGTGATTCTCACATTCAAATAATATTAATGCATAGGCCTACTGTAGAAGGTGAGTTGAATAACTGCGTGGTAGTTATATAGATTTCATAGTGAGCCAAAAACTGTTGCTGAACTGCACTATGGACACCATTATGCTTCAGCTGTCTCTATATGTTTACATTTGACCTCAGTGTCCTTGCCTAGCTCCTGCATGGCATTGACATGTATCTGCCCTCGGAAGCACTGTGTGTGTCTCTGTGTCAAACCAAATCATATAACTGCCCCTGCATGTGTTTCATGTGCAGTAAATAAGTAAAAATACTTTGAAGTAGACTACAACTTAAGTAGTTTTCCTGGGTATCTTTATATTTTTGACAACTTTTACTCCACAACATTCCTAAAGAAAATATGTACTTTTTAATCCCATACATTTTCCCTGACACCCAAAAGTAATCGACTGTATACAAGTTAAATAATTTCTATAATAATGTATTTAAGGATAATCATTTATATAAATAATGTTATAATTGCATGATATGATAGCATTTTGCAAACCCGCTCCCCCCATTGGTGTAACGTTAGTTAGAAACCACAAGTGTCTATCCAGATAATGAAAAGGCACCCATGAAAGAAAGTTCAAGGATCTTACATTTGTGACATGCATGATCATGAGCAAAGTCATTGTAGCCTATGATTTCACTTCCCCTGTGAGAACAATGAGCACGGGCTAACTTGGCTTTGCTATACCACAGCCGAAGCCTGCTAGCAGCCTACCTACTAAAGGCTGCACCGTGTCCATACATGTAGAAAAAAACAGTGATGTAAATAAACCCTGGATTGATGATGTTATGTATTGGCCAGTGAGAGGCTTTGAAGCAACCGGTCGGCCATATTGGCACTCCCCAGAAGGAGCAGTCCTCCACGGCGAATAAATGTAATTCTACAGTATTTCAATTAAATGTTTAAAGGACAAAATTATATGTATTTATTTTTGTTGTTGTAGTGGGGACAGTAACACTAGAACTGTCAGAAAATTACACTTTTAATGATTTTTAAATATATATATTTTTATGTTTAGCTCACATAATATAATGTAAAAGTATGCATTAAGGTGTTTGTAATAGAATAAACGTGTCAAAAACAAATGTAGACGTTAATAAATGCATTTCTATAACTTCCAAAATATTTTTACAATGGTGGGGGTTTGCCATGATGGAGGCGCGGTGACCTCAAAACACTACCCTCTGTCAGTCATCTAGTGTATATATAAATCATTGAGAAAAACGGATATCAGCTATCTTTCAATAGTTATCCATATTACCGGAGCTTCATTTGATTATTTTAACTATTTCTATGGTGGATTCGCGGCAACAATTTATGCCTTTGTCATTCTTAAGCCTTCGTCATTCTTCAGAGGTGGACCCTAAACTTGCATATCCTCTCTAGGACAGGAAATGGCGAAGGCTGCTTCCTCTAGGGGGGGGGGGTCGTTTTTAAAGTATCTTACTTTTAGTATGACAATTGATTACTTTTTCCACCACTGGTTTCAACACAGCCCCCCTTCTTTCATTACCATAGATATCTGATGGACAGCCACTATGGTGACTTTTTAGCCTCCAGCACTCGGTATTCAGGCTATCATGATAATTTTTTCCTCTTCAGAGGAGATATCGTTATACCCTATGGAAAGAAGTTTTAACATATATTCATATAATTTTGTATATCAATAATTTATTTTATATCAATAATATTTTTAAATCAATAATTCACACTTGATATAAAAAAATTACCTATCAATATAAAACATTCAATTATCGACATCAATTATTGTAATTTTTGATATCGAGATATCTTTTTTGATATGAAGATTTATGATAATGACCTTAATGAGGGTGGGATTGCATTTGCATGCTTCTACATACAGTTGCTAGTAAAAGTCTACACACCCCTTGCACAGTCTTCACATTTTGCAGCCTTAAAATGTATTCTAAAAAGGGATTACATTTCATTATTTTCCTATAGATCTACACAACTTAATCCTCTTTTTCAAAGTGAAAGAAAAATTATAGAACATTTTCCAAATTAATAAAAATAAAAAATAAATGAAAATGTTTTGATTGTGTATGTCTTCACACCCCAGAGTTAATACTTGGTGGAAGCACCTTTTCACAGCCATTACAGCTATCCATTGTTTATGTCAAAATTGCTCAAGCTCAGTAAATTTGGTCGGAATCATTTTAAGGACAACAATATTCAATGCTTGTCATTGTTTTTCCAAGCAGATTTAGTTCAGGACTGGGACTACTACACCATTCAGGTACACTCCACACTGTTGGAAAGCCATTCTGGTGTGTCTTTGGCATTAGAATTTGTCTAATTGTTCCGCTGAAAAATGAAACTATCGCTGGGTTAGGTTTTCAGAAGACTATGGTGGGTTTTCCTCTAACTTTTTATCTGTCCTTTGCTCCTTTCATATTTATTTTGATCCGAACATACTCCCCAGCCCCTGCCGGTAACAAGCATACCCATAATATGATGCTGCCACCACAACACTAATCTTATTCAAAATGATTCACACCTGTAATGACTGCCAGTGGTGCTTCCACTAAGTTCCCCTATCCTCTTCACACTGTATAGAAACGACTGTGCCTGCAGGCACCCCAACAACTCCGTGGTTAAGTTCTCAGAAGACACCTCTGTCCTCTGGCTCTTAAACAAAGGCTCTGACATCAACAGCTACAGGGCAGAGATTGAAGGATTCATCAGATGGTGTAACGGACATCACCTACAAGCAATGTTCCCTCTAAGCTGCTCGCCTCGGACTGCCGCACAGAAGAAATATGAGCCTGTACAGAGAAGCAAAAGATTGAACTTCACTCAACCTTCTACAGTTTTCCCCTTTAGTTAACACTATCAACGTTTCACTCTACTGTGGGAATTGTGATCGAATCAACGCAATATTAGCCACATTCAATGTAATATACTATATACAGTTGATGTCAGAAGTTTACATACACTTAGGTTGGAGTCATTAAAACTCGTTTTTCAACCACTCCACAATTTTCTTCTTAAACTATAGTTTTGGCAAGTTGGTTAGGACAGCTACTTTGTGCATGACACAAGTAATTTTTCCAACAATTGTTTACAGACAGATTATTTCACTTATAATTCACGGTATCACAATTCCAATGGGTCAGAAGTTTACATACACTAAGTTGACTGTGCTTTTAAACAGCTTGGAAAATTCCATGGCTTTAGAAGCTTCTGATAGGCTAATTGACATCATTTGAGTCAATTGGAGGTGTAACTGTGGATGTATTTCAAGGCCTACCTTCAAACTCAGTGCCTCTTTGCTTGGCATCATAGGAAAATCAAAAGAAATCAGCCAAGACCTCAGAAAAATAATTGTAGACCTCCACAAGTCTGGTTCATCCTTGGGAGCAATTTCCAAACGCCTGAAGGTACCACGTTCATCTGTACAAACAATAGTACACAAGTATAAACACCATGGGACCACGTAGCCGTCATACCGCTCAGGAAGGAGACGCATTCTGTCTCCTAGAGATTAACGTACTTTGGTGCGAAAAGTGCAAATCAATCCCAGAACAACAGCAATGGACCTTGTGAAGATGCTGGAGGAAACGGGTACAAAAGTATCTATATCCACAGTAAAAACGAGTCCTATATTGACGTAACCTGAAAGGCCGCTCAGCAAGGAAGAAACCACTGCTCCAAAACCTCCATAAAAAAGCCAGACTATGGTTTGCAACTGCACATGGGGACAAAGATCGTACTTTTTGGAGAAATGTCCTCTGGTCTGATGAAACAAAAATAGAACTGCCATAATGACCATCGTTATGTTTGGAGGAAAAAAGGGGGAGACTTGCAAGCCGAAGAACACCATCCCAACCGTGAAGCACGGGGGTGAAAGCATCATGCTGTGAGGGTGCTTTGCTGCAGGA